GCGGCCAGGAGGAGGAGGATTCCAGAGGAGCTGCACTTGCCTCCTGGAAGATGGAAGTAATTCCACTCAATCCCCCAGTCATGTTAGTAAATAGGGAAAAGCTGCAAAGCCTCTGAGCCCTCCACCTCACTCTGTGTGGTGACTGAGCATCCAGAACAGTCAGCTGGACCCACTGCCGGCTGCTTGGCCCCTTTCTGGAAAGCCCAGCACCTGGACAGTTCATGGCAGCTGTCAGGCTTTGGTTAGCACAGTCTGGGGCAGACAAGTCTGGAAGGAAGGAGGAGCCCTCACAGTCAGAGGGCTTCAGTGGGTGTTTCTGGTCTCCAGGCCATTTGCAGGATTCTCAAAGAAACCCTGGGAGCACTGGGCAGCTCCAGAAGCCCTGGCCAATGGGGAAGATGGGTAGGCAAAGCAGTGTTTACAAAGGGACTCCGCCAGCCTCTGTGGGCTCCCTGACCCTGCACCCAGCTCCCTGACAGGCCCAGAGCTGGCAGCAAAACACTAGGAAACCGTGAGCCTTCCTGTCCAGGTGCCCACCCAGCCCCCTGGTTGCCCAGTCCTCCCCTGTATGCTGGGGCTGTGTGTCATGGGCAGCACTCTGGGTGACAGGTGGCAATCTGCAGAGGTCATTAACTCCAGAGCACCATATTTTAATGCAAAAATGAGCCCCTCTAAACCGGCAGCTGGGATGCTATATAAGGAAATGGGGATTTTAATGTCTAGCTTTTCTTCCCTTTCTAGTGCTGCATTATCACAACATTTCCCCATAATTACACCCATAAAAGTCACCTGAAAATAACTTGCGCCACAAAAGTTGATCTACATATTTCATTCTGTGGATATAGAGTGACAGTCCCTAGCTTAGAATTCCAGGCAAGAATTCAGCCAGGAGGCTTCCCCGGGTTCCAGTGTCCTCTGGCCTCAGCAAGGTCCGGCTGACTCATGGACATTGGAAGGTGGTGTGTGGCCCCTGCCAGGTATTGCAGGCAAAGAGCAAATTAAAAACAGGAGGTGGGTCAGCCCCTCTGTCCAGGAATGGAAAAGGACGCTGTTCTAGAGTAGTTCCAAAGTCCCTTCTCCATGGTCTCTGCATGGGACACCCTTTTGAGGAGGCAAAACACCTCTACTGCCGTGACCCTGGGGGATCGAGTCTGGCTACGGGAGGTGACATAGCTTTATGTCAATTTATGTCATTGAAAGAATCAAGCGTCGTATCTTGTGTTAAAAATTCATCAAGGAAAATCTGTGGGAAATGAAAGGAAAAAAAGAAACAAGAAAGAAATAAACTTCTGAGTGGTATCACCTCATTAAGCCTCCAGCACTTTCATTTTACCTCTGCAAGAACTCCGGATGCAAAATTCGAGCAGCAGGGACACGGTATACTCTAATGTGTCCTAAATATGCCATAAATTGTATTTATAAAGAAAATGCAACATGGGAGTGCCTACGCTCGGTTAGTGTTCTAATGGATTAAAAAACAATTCAAAAGTTGTTTGTAATTTCTTCTCGTGAGGACATGAGATTTAACTGAAAGGCACAGTTCAATTTTGACGGGGTTTCTTCGAAGAAAAAAGAAAAACCTGTGTCAAACACGCAACCCGCCTGTCCTCACAGGCACAGTGACACACGATCAGTCTCCAGGAGTGTCTGTCCGCCAAACCACTCTGAAGAGGGGACTTGCAATCGACCCTGACGCTCCTCACCTTTAAACACTGCACACAAGCGCCACAGTCAAGGCTTGGGTGTAAGAAGGCGTCACAGGCATCGCGCTGGCTGGTCATCTTCCCCCCACCCCCCCACCCCCCATGCCTCGCTGTTGCATCTGAACGCCACAAGCCAGCGTGGAAAGATCAAATCGCCCGTGCAAGCACAGTGCACAATGGCACCGGCTCTAGTTGTTCCAAAGAGGCCCCATTGCATTCAAGATCGGAGTCTGGGCAGGCAGACCTCTCTACTCCAGAGGCACTGGAGGAAATTGAACACACACCCCTTTCTAAGTCTCACCCGAGGAGTTTCCCCAGCCCACAATCAAGCAGACTTCAACCTCCCTACCGATGCTCATCACTCATTCCCAGGCACAACCCTCAGTGACTGACCCTGCTGTCGACGTGACGAGCACGCGCGGTGGAGCACGCATTTATTTGAAAGTAAACCACGCAGGGCAGGGCCCCCTTCCCTCTTGGCTTTTCCTGGCCATCCTTCCCCAATAGGAGAAAATGACAAGGCTGTGTCACCATAGCAACCAGCCTACTTGGTGGACTGCAGGTCTTTCTCCAGCCAGAGGGTGGAGCCCATCTCCTTAAATATGAGTCTCAGTACCCAAGAAACGAAGAAGGGCTTTCACTGGGCCAAGCAGAAGAATCCCCTACCAGAAACCAGGCCAGGAAATAATCCAGCTTCCTCTCACCAGTGGCAGGAAGTGAGCACCATTCTTCCTGCAGAGAAGCCCAGACTTAACAAGCAGGGTGATTGAATCCTGTGCGATACTTATCAGTTTCCCTGATGAGGACGATGCAAAGAGATCTGCTCTGCAACATAAAAACACTTTGGGTAACAGAGATTCTTCCTGATAACTAAAACAATTTACAAACAAGGATGACACCTGTCCTTCATCCCCGACGCACTGGGAGAGAGGAAGGAAATCCCAGGAACTGTTTAATTACCAATGTACTCTATCAATTCTAAGAAAACTGCAGCTTCTTCTCTAGGATGGCAGTTCCAACCTATAAATTATTGTTACTATGACTATTTTGTATTTTAGAGAAATGTTTTAATTTCTCCAAATGCACTTGTGGCGTAATGGGGTGTGTCTGAAAAACGTTATCTTATTGTCAATTACTCCATTACAGACATGGAAGCAGCCTGGTTCACCCATGCTTCTGTTATTAATGATTTCTGCTTTTCTGGATAAGACGTTTTTACCAAATGTCCTTGTGATGGAAGAAGAGCTAGCTGTTGGCAGGACGGTGGGGGGGTCTCCCTAAGACCTATGGGTGAGAAGGCTCTGTTCTTCCGAGCAGCTGAGCAGCGGCACAGCTTAACTTCTGCACTCCAACATCTGGACTTACAGAGGGAAGGTGCAAGCCATTGCTGTGGGAATGAATTAAGTGACAGCACCCTGGGTGGAGAGACAGAAGCTGCACAGGAAGAGAGTGGATTCCAGCTCGCCTGTGGGCATCAAGCAGAGCGTTGAGGTCTGAACCCGGGTATTGTGTACTTGACAATATCCCCGCCTGCAGGACTGCCTCCTCCCCAGGGCCAGCCTGTGGCTTGGGGTTCTCAAGCAGACTCTGCAGGAAAGGCAGCCAGCTGGGGGCTCAGGGTACCACAGACCCCTCCCCCAACACTGCTGAATGAGCCCTCCTGCTGTGATGCCACCAGGAAGTCCATTCCAGTGGCACCTCTGAGCTCTGGAGCTCATCACCGAAGGTCCTCCTGGGAAACCCCTGAAAGCAGCCCACAGACCACAGAAGCTCCTTATAGCCAGCGCTGCGATCCAGATGCCTGGGCATGCACCAGGTAGAAGAGGCTTGCCCGGCAGCAGGTTAGAGCCCTGCTGGTCAAGAGTCTCCTGGATCTGCTAAGCAAGCCTGTCCAGAAGGGGCAAGGTGCCTCAGCAATGGTAGAGACAGCAGAACCCACTGACACAACTATGGTGATTTCAGCTTCCGCTCAGGGACCTGGTGTCCCTAGGGATGCAGATATCACTGGGCTTGGCTGTCCCAGGACTCCAGCCACCCAGCTGGGAGTCAACAAGGCTGCTGCAGAATCATTCTGGACTGGGAGGCAGGAGGCCCCAGGTTCCGGGGTTGGCCAAGTGGGGGAGGAAGGAGATGGTGGCTTGGCACTGGCCTTTTTTTTGTTTTGTTTTGTTGTTTTGTTTTGTTTTGTTTTTGTAAAGAATCATTATTTTTCCATCACCTCTGAGCCCATGGCAATTCTCCACAACAGACGTTCCCCAGAACCCGTCCTTCCTTTCTGCTGAGAGGGGAAGGCATCAGGAGTCCGTGCCCTGACAAGCCCTGCATCCCAGTTGGAGGCTGAGCGCAGGACGCTACCCAGCCCCCACCAACCCCAACCAGCTTAAAATGGGCACTGGGAGGGACGCTGACCACCCACCTTAACCAGCCCCATATCTGTGCCCAGACTCAGACCACCCCTCCCCTCCCAGAGATAACCAGGAGCGAGCCACAGTCACCCACCATCCCACACCCATCCCAACCTCAGCTGGTGCCCCAGCGCCGACCAGCCCGCGCCACTCCGGCCAGACGGGCCGAGGCCCGGTGCCAGACCCACTGGGTCGCCAGCTCAGTCTCCCACACGACCCTCGAAATGCCCGCGGCGACAGCTGGCCCTCGCTGGCACCCCAGCCTTTACTTCTTTTTACGAAAGCGCCTGGCGAGCCCGCTTCCCGGGGAGGCAGAAGCTCAGCCGTGCGTCGGAGCCAGAGCCCCGATCCTGCCCAAAGGAGCCCAGCTCCGGGGCTCGGCCGCCTCGTCTCCCCAAGTCCCCGGCGGGAGTGTCGCCGGCGGGAACCTCTGAGCAGGGTGCTTTATCGACAACCCAGGAAGTGGTGCCCGCTCGCCTCGACTAGCCGCCGGTTCCAGCACGCGAAGCTCGGCCGGGAAGCGGCTGGCTGGGCTCGGATTGCCGGCCTGGGCCGGGGGCCGCGACAGCTCGCCAGGCAGCAGCGGGCACCGGCGCGCAGGGACGAGCCGCGCCAGCCCGGGCCTGGCGCCCCGGCCCTGCCCGGGAGTCGGGGGAAGGAAGCTCGGGCAGAGGCGCCCAGCCCCGAAGTGCCCAAGCGCCGGGAGCCACGCGGACCCCAGCCCTCCTGGCCCGGCGCAGGACCGGCAGGGACCCGGGGAACGGCGCGCCACGCGCTCTCAACTCCGCACCGACTCCGGGCGGCCCGCGGGGTGCCCCGCCTGGGCTCCGGATTGGGCTGGGCCGGGCCGGGGCCCGGAGGCCCGTGCGGGAGCCGGGCGCGCGGTACTCACTGCAGTAGGCGATGAGCAGGCTGGCCAGGATCATGAACGCCCAAAAAGTTGAGGACATGCTGGGCAGGGCGGTCGCATCTTGCCGGCTGCTGGTCCTGGGCGATGGCGCCATTGAAGCCTTGGCGCCCGCACGGGGGGCAGCAGCGCGTCTCAGCAGCCGGCCCTGCCCGCGCCCCCGCGCCGGCCTCCACGTGCGGGTCCCGCGCGCGCCATCCTCCTCCTCCGCCTCCAACGCCGCCGCCGCGCCCGGGCCCCGGCCCACTGCGCCCCGCGCTGGCCCACCCCGCGCCGCGCCGCGCCCGAGCCTCCCGCGCCCGCGCCCGCCGCTCCCGCGCCGGCCTGCCGGGGGACGCCGGCCCCGCAGCTCTGGGCGTCGCTGCGCGCTCCGGTTCGGCGCGCCCCGTCACCAATGCGAGGTGCGCGCCTCGAGCGCGCGCCCGGCGTAGCGGGACTCCGCACCGGCCCGGGACTGGCTAGGGAGGCAGGCAGAGGGGACGCCGCGCCCGAGCCGCGCCTCTGGATGGCGACAGAGACGGCCCAGCGCGCCCACAGCCTGGGCACTTGGCCGGCAGGACCGTGCGTGAAGTTTGTGGACTTGGGCCCTCGGTGTTTCCCATCCGCAGTCGCCAAGGCCTGTAACGCTGAGGTTCCAGACTGCCTTGGATGGGATCAGGTAATTGAGCCCAGGTTTAATTGAAGCACAGGCTACTTTGGGCCGTTTCCTCACATATCCCTTGGTGCCCTTGCCTGTTGGTGTGCCTTGGTGACCATGGGACCACAAAGAGTGCCGTTTGGATCTGCCCAGTTGTTGGAGGCCCACTGCCATGAGGGCTCCTTCTTTACCTTGAGCAAACACTCCATGCATGAAGATGTGCCCTTTACACCCATACTTTGCCCCAAAATCGCAATATTGTCTGCTGCCTAGCACTGCCCCCTCTGCTGAGGCCCTGTCCTTGGTAAGCGTTCTCAGCCATCTCCCAGTAGTCCATGCAGGGCAAGGACCCAGTGGTCTCTGGGCTCTCTGTCCCAGGGTTGGTCCCACCAGGGGGTAATGATAACCATCCTTTGTTTTATTTGCATAATTATCATCTACAAAGCAGGTTCATTCCTGTAAACAAGCTGAGTCCTTTGAGGTCCCTTTCCCACCCTCCCTGTCATGGTCCCTACAGTTCAATAGAGGAATTCCCAAGGCCAGGAGTCCTCCAGATGCTCCTGCCGCCTGGGATCCAGCCCCTGGGTTCAACCTCCCCCCTTCCTGCAGGCAGGTGGACTTGCTAATAGAAACTCCCACCGTAGATTCATAGGACTTTCCCTCTTTCCCTGCACCCAGAGGTCTTGTTGGAGCTGGGGAGGTCTCAGCAAGTCTGGTCACCAGCCCTGATCTGGAATGACCTCTAAGGGGAGCAAAGAAAGCTGCTGAGGGGGAGACAGACCACACAGGCCCTACACACACAGCCACGTGTACACACCCCACATGCATGTACACCATGCACATGTTCTCTCTCACTCAGGCTTGCCTACACGCAGAACCGTGCTGGGAAACTGAGGCAGATAAAAGTGGCCTCCCACTCGTCTTGAACTGCTAGCCCCTGACCGTGTTCTCCCTGCAAGCTGTTTTTCTCCACTAATTTTCATCTCCTGTTTAATTAACGCACTGACTCTGCTGGTTACCGGTTACCATCTTCTCAAGGGCAGCTTCTCCTGCTTGTTTTCCTGTGGGGAGGCCACTCTGCAGAAGATGCAGTTCCTGACAAGGTAGGTGGGCACAGGAGACATCACCCCTTGGCTTGGGTGTTCCAGACTGATGTCTCTGCCCTGGCCCCCAGGGAGAGGCCCCTCAATGGGGTTCTACAGAGCCAACCGTGAATGCCTGAGTCTACCTTCACAGTTTCCTTCCTTTGATCTGAGCCTTTTATCCTGAGAAAAGCATGCCACTTTCTAAAATGTTACAAATCCATTCCATCCTGTCCATTCTGAAGTGGTGCTCTGTGCCAGACACTCCTTCTTCCAACTAGATGCCAGGCACTGTGCCTGGAAGTCAACAAGACTTGCATTTTTCCCCTCAGAAATTTGCAGGAGAAAAGCAGTCATAATAGTGTGGCAGGTGTTGTGATGAGAGGAGTTCAAGGACAATGTTGGTGCATTTGACCTCTGGGGTACAGACAGGAGTGTGCTGGGAGCAATACGCATTGCTGACTATTTTTGGTGCCATCCTTAGGACCAGCATGCACATGTGCGCATGCATGCACGCACGCGCGCGCGCGCGCGCACACACACACACACAGGGACTCATGCATGCGCACACACCCATCTGAAGTAAAAGCCTCACAGAACAGCACTTACCTTCACAAGATTCTCTGGTCTTTTCTATTCTGTCCTAATTCAGTTCTTAAAAAATGCTGGTTGCCTGCCCCATAATTTAGTTTACAGTAATTTTCTTTGTTTGAAAAGCCTTTTCCAGCAGAGATGTAGGGCACCTTAAATTGGGAAGGAGAAGTCGGAGCTGTCCTGCCCAAGGTAGAGAGAGGTGGTGGACAGGGGTCCAAGCAAGAGGGAGCATAAGGGGACCTGGAGAGATAATAGTCTGCTTCCTCTGTCTTGGCACACAAGCCATGAAAGCATTGCAGCTGCACCATTGGGAGTATGGTGGGAAGAGTTTAGGATATTGGCATGTGGTTCATTTTGTATAGGAAAATTCTTGCAGACTGGATTGAGAACAGAGCCCTTGGTGTTTAAGACGTGGAATCCAGAATGGTGGTGAGTCTGTGAGCCAGGGAGACCGCAGATGGCCAATTCTCTGCCCCAGGTTACACATGGGATGGAGGCCGAGGGGACGGGACGGGATAAGAGAGAAGATTGAAGAGCTAATGATGGAGGCCTCCTGAGTGTGGATAGCAGCCCTAATCTAATTATAAAGCTGCAGTCCGGATGCAGCCTGGAGACGAGAGCAGGTGCCTGGCACAGCGGGTCCCAGCCAGGCCTTGTTTCCAGGGCCTGGTGAGAGCAACCAGGGTGGAATTGAGGATGGGGGATGAGCAGTGCTGAGTTCTGTTGCTAGGAGACAGAGCTCAGTTCTGGATCCCAACGTTGTTACCAATTGACAATTTTTGTTGTTGTTGACGGGCAGGCTGGTTTTGATTACTAGCCAGAATTAGCAGGATGTTAAATTTTGAAGCTTAAATAAGTTTATTAGAGAATCATAGCATCCCTTTCAATCTAGCCTGAAACACAAGGGATGGTAAATGTGTAGCCCCAAAGAAATCCTCAGGTCTCATGCATGCCAGTTGATAAGTCATTGGCCCTAAAGAGACCTGTTTAAGAAAGAGTCATCCTGCCTGCAGGGTCCCCAGATTGGCCACAGAGTGCAGTGGAGAAGAGTCTCCAGAGAGGAGGTGGGTGGAGTAAGGAGATTGCCCAAGGCATGCCCTCCCTCCATGCCCGAGCAGAAGTGTGCTGGCATCACCGCCCACTCTGCTTTGATAGAAATACACGTTTCTATCACACCCAGTCTCCCCATCTTCCACACCACGAAGAGCGTTTGCTCTTCAGTCCTGTGCTCGCTGACTGACCCTCAGCTGCCAGCAATCCTGAGGTTGGATTTGTGCGTGTTGACTTGAGGTGTTGGTGTCCTCACTGAGATGATGGTGGGGGGGAATGCATTTCGTGAAGATAGGGTGTTGTAGGGACCTGTGTATGGCAGGCAGCTCAAGGAATGGACTGTGAAGGGCTTTGGTTGTGTGCCCCCCATCTGTTTCTCCACCTCCACATCGCCTTGTACATTTGCAGGGGATTCCTCTTCCTGACCAGGAAGGTGGAACCTGGAGGAGAGGCAGGACAGTAGTACAACAGGTGTGGGGATCCCAGTGAGAAGGGAGGCTGCTTCCGCTCGCCTCTGTGACATGTGGGGACAGCAGTTGCCCAAGGGTGACTGTTACTGATAGGTCCTCTGTGACTCCAGACTGGGAAGATGATGTCATTAGACAGGCCATGGTCAACTGCAAGGAACAGACCTCAAAATCCACGGACAGTCCTCAGTAAGCCGTGGAAGAGCTCAGTACAGAGGAAAAGAAGTGCCAACAGCAGGAAACACAAGACAAGGAGCCGCCAAGCTCAGCAAGCCCAGGCAACAAAAGGCTGAGAAAACCTTGTTGCCAGACTCCAGGCCAAACAGTGCCCTACAGAGAGAAAGCCAATGGAGAGAATGCAAGGCTGTGAGCAATTATCCACCGTATTTCTCCAGTCTTAGTAACGTAATAAGCGGTATTTACATATTCCATCTTGGATGCGGACACTCTTCCGAGGTCTTCAGTTATATCCCTGCACCTAATCTTCGTAACAACCCTGCAGCATAGCCAGCAGGTAAGAGAAGCAAGGCAGGAGGAATTAAGGAAACTGCGCCACGATTTTGAGCTTGGAAGTAGCAGCCAGGGTTGGAACCCAGGCAGCCTGGCTTCTGAAAATGTGCCCTGAAGCCTGTGCTCCTTGGCCTTTCCTCACCAAACTGTGTTCATTTAAAATGTTACCGAACGGAGAAACAAACAATCAGAAAGGGTTCTAGATTCTACAGCTTCGAGCCACCCACATTTCGCATTTTCCATCTTGTTTTCGTATGCACGTTCATCCCGCAGGTATTCGTCAGTTTTCTTGGTGTGTGGTGCACATTACTTCATGGTGTTTTCTCTCTCAGGTGCGTGTCAGGCAGTCTGAGATTCTGCCACGTGTGAATACCACCGTCTACTTAATCAGTCTTTATTTTTGGACATCAGACTTTGAGATTTTACTCTTCTAAGCACTTCAGAAATGAGCATGCTTGTAGGAAACCTTTTTGTAGAGTTATAGTTATTTATAGGAAAGAATTAGAGAACTGGAATCATGAGGTCAAAATGACACAGTTTTAAGGCCTGGCTGTATATTAATTACCAAGTGAACTTCCAGAGGTGGTAATTGTAACCTACGTTCCCGCTGAGCGCATCCATTTCCATCCACACACCTCAGCCCCAGGTATCACCTCTGCCACCCGTGGCCTGGGTGGTGTCACGGGTGCCGAAGGTTTTATGGCTGTTTCATTTGCATTTATTTTGCTGATCAGGGTGGACCGTTTGAATGCATGCC